TCCCCTCACCTACGGACAAAAGGGACAGCCTCCACCTTCAACTGGCCAATTCACAATTAAACACTTCAATTCACCCTGGAGACAGGGGAGAATGCCATCCTGTCGGCGGGTTGCCAGGGGACAACTTCCACAGCACTAGACCCGTCACCCCACCCTAGCATTAGGGAAACTGAGGCAGAGGCCAGGGCCAAGTGCAGGAAGTGCCGTAGGAGCATCTGCATGCTGCTTCAAGTACTGCCAGTGACTTGTGACTGGGGGCCCCGTGGGGCCTGGGGAGTGGGCGGGCAACTGCTCCGTGTGAACAAGGCTCCAGCCGAGTTGACGCCGTGGCGGACATGCTCCAGGGCCAAGGGTCTTGGTTTTCTGCTGTATCCATCAGCTTGACCTGGCCCAGCTCCCCTCGAGGTTGAGAGGCGGCAGTGGCTCCAGGCACCCCTTCATGATGTGACACACAGGAACAGCAGACTACTCATAACACAATCACCCATATCTTCCTGTACAACCCCTCAAAATAACATGTTATCAATGTTACCCTAAAATATAAACGGAGGTAAATGGGTAGTAAGATTCACTTACATTTGACTTTAATTTACTTAAAAAAAAAAATCAGTGTGACCCACCCTAGACCTTTGGATTCAGTGTTTCTATGTAGGTGGGGAGTCCAGGAATCTGTTTTAAACTAACCCAAGGTGACACAGTCAGCCAGGCAGGGTCACTCCTGGTGAGCCATGACTCATCATGCCCGGGGCCTTGTGGGTGCCAACTTCCCACTGCCAAGCCCAGAAGACACCCTGCCCCAGAGGAATGCTGGTCATGCTAAGACTTCCTCCAAGCCTGGAGGCCTGAAGGCGGGGGTGGGCAGGCAGCCAGGGCCCCGGATATGTCCTCTGACAGAACAGGCTGCCCTCAGCCTCAGGGCCGGCCCCAGGATCCAACCTCACTGTCCAGCTAATAGGAAGAGGGGCCCAGCCCAGGACAGTGATCATTAGTGATCCTGTACTGTCAGAGCTTGAAAACTCCTAGTGCCTGGGCCCCACCCGAGTCCCATCAAGCTTTTCTGGGGTACATTCTGGCTGATTCCAATATGCAGAGAGGCTGAAAACCATGAAATCAGGAGAGAAGGGATAGAGGGAAATGAAGGCTGAAGACAGTGGGAGAACCCAGGAGAGCCTTGCTGAGGGACCTGAGAAGGGGACTTGATCCACAGGATGACCACGATCAGTAGCCCATATCTGGATGCAGACCAGGTGCCAGTCATCATCCACCAGATGGACGGCAGGGCTGGGGAGGCAGGCACCGGGCGGAGTCCTGCTCCTCACCACCACTCGCATTTGTCCTTGACTGATGATTGTCCCCGGAGAGAAAATAAGGATTTTTACAAAATGTTCTCACACCACTTTTATCTACTCACTTATTCAAGAAAAATCTATACCTACCCTGTGCCAGGTGTGGACATCCAGAGCGCCCGGGCATCCAAGCTGGTTGAAAACTAACACGGTCACATACAGCAGCTTAATACCAAGGAACCACGGAGAGGAGCAGAGTGCACCACACAGCCTCCACGGTCACAGCATGTTGCGTGTGTGTATGTGCATGCTCACGGCAGGCCCTCGGGGAGAAGTACTTCTTACTGTAGATCATAGCCCAGCATGTCTGAGAAACAGAATGGCCAGAGGCAAGCCTCCACAAACCCAATGGGACTGTGTGAACACACAGCTCTACACAACACTCCTGCTAAGCTAGGAGGCCCCAACAGCGCTCAAAACCCCTGAGGACTGAGGAGTGGCTCAGAGGCAGTATGCTTGCCTATCTTGTGCAAGGCTCTGGATTCCATCCCCAGTGATGCCCCCTCCCCCCCAAAGCCCCATGCCCCTGAGTAGTTACAAATTTGAAAATAAACCTTGAAATGAACACAGCCATCATGATTTTGACATTGGCCATGGGGAGGAATTTGGTAAGTGTGAAACAACCTCCTTTCACCACTCAAGGACAGTGTGACAGGGGATTCAGTGCTGGCACCACCATCCCTGAATCCCTGAAGAACAGTAAGCAACAGTAAGATAATCTTCTCTCAAAGCTCAGTTACAAGTCAGGCATGGTGCTGGCATGCCTGTAATCCTAGCTAGTAGAGAGGCTGAGGCAGGAGGATCACAAGTTTAAGGCCAGCCTCAGCAACTTGGCCCTATCTCAAAATTAAAAACAGGAAGGGCTGTGGATAGAGCTCAGTGGTACAGCACCTGAGTTCAATCCCCACTGTCAAAGGCAGAAGGGTTCGGTTCCAGGGGCACATGCCTTGGCCCCCATGTGCGGAAAAGCCTGCACCTCAAGCTGTTCTTACCGGTCAAGCTGCAATGCTCCACTCAACGTGCACAGTCCTCTTCACGGCTGAGGCCAGAGGAAGGCCCAGGACCCTGAGGCTCTCCAAGGCAGTTCCAGGAATGACTAGAGCTCCTGAACGATGGCAATCCCCACTGACCTAAAGCAAAGGAGAGCCACAGCCCTTGCCAACAACCACTCTCCACGCCCGCACAGTGCACAGCACTCACCAATACTGACACCCCTCAACTTGGTCAGAGGGGCATAGTCCCCCAATCAGTGATCAAGTGCTACTGGCTGTGAGCCTGTCGGGACCCACCCACCTGGGGCAGTTCCTTAGTGGGCACAGGACCTCACTCGTGTGGTTAAGTCCTTGCCTAGAAAACTCCCATTTCACAGCACACACCAGCTTAATCATGCTTGTTACCTCCACCTCAGTTGTCCCCCAAGCCAGCTGAAACCAATCTTCAAAACTAATGTTCAAAACCCACTGAGGAGCCTCCTACAGTGGCTCTTCAACTCCAACTCACCTGTAATCACCTGCTGACCAGCGTATTTGAATGTCCACACAAGAGACTTGTAAACATTTAGAAAACTGTCTGGAAAGTCACCTTCCACGATTACTGAGCCTCACCTTTGGTGAAGGGAGAGGACATGTCAAACAGGGCCTTTACGCTAATATCTGACATTTAAATTATCTTCACAAAAATGCATTATTGATTTTTCAGTGGTACACTGAAATCGATGTCTTGTTGACATAAACTACGTGACAAGCAGATGCCAAAATGTGCCTGTAAATGTACTCGACTTCCAAGGGATCCAGCCACCAAGAGTCACATTTTCTATTTTGCCTTTACATAGTTTTCGAACTGAGTCCAAAAAAGCAAGCTTACCTGGCATTCCCTGGCATGATTCTAGCATTCGAAACCCACAAAAAACTTTCCTTCATATAAGAGGGCAAAAAGCCATTTAAAGTCACCAGATCACTCTGCCTGCAAGAATCACAGCTGCCCAGCACTGGCTAAGATGCAAGCTCCTGGCACCAATGACCATGCCATTCCAAGTATCAACTGATACCTGCAGAGCTTTGGCAGAACCTATGCTATTTAAATATAAATTCCTTTAAGTCAGCAATTTGACCTGCATGAATTTATCCTATGGAGACTTAAAGAAGACAAAATAGCCACTGCTACCCTTCTACTCATTTTGGAATAGCAGCACCAAATCCTTCTGTGAAGGCCTCAAAACCTGTGCTGGAACCTACCTCATGTCACACACAAACTGCCACTACTAAATTTCACAAGAAGGGCGCAGGAAGCAGCACAGCAGGCAGACCTCACACCTCTCCTCGTGCAGTGGGACAGTGGGACACACACCTCAGTGTCCAGGCCTGCTCCTTTCTCAAATAATGTGCCCACAGAGACCTGCCAAGTACTCCAGAGTGCGGTAGGACAGCTACCCTGAAGGGTAAAAGTTGTCTGAACCACTGGAGCCAGGGTGGCTCTCAAGAAAGCAGGCAGCAGGAGCCATTAACATCTGATCAGAGCCTCCTCTATCCACAGAAGACCTTGATGAAAAATCCCAACCTCACCACAACAGATACCTCAGCGACCTATCTAATGGGTGAACTGCCAGGTGACGGGCTATATGAAATAAACCCAACGGGATTCATCTGCTAACAGTCACTACATGCAGGGAGCATCAGGCCAAAAACAGAGAGTCTGCTCATCATTTTTCTAGAATTAATGGTGCTGCAGGTGTCTGTGACTAAAGGTCCCATTTCAAAATCATCCCCTGGTCCCCTGCACCTTGGTTAACCACCCCTCCTCTTCCGATACAGGGAGCCACCCCAGCTTTCACAGATGAATGAAACCATTAGGCCCAAAGCCACATAAAGTTTAGTGAGCTAAATAGCCCAACTTAGAAAAAATCTAAAAGACTAATTGTTTTTCAAAAACCTAAACTTCCTCTATTTACAACAAAAAGTTATTCGGATATGATGATCAAAACAAAACTGCAGACAAGCCCCATGGTGTTTTGGGTTTTTAAAATGATTTATTCACTTTATGATTTAAGGTATGTATCTACTCCAGTTGGGTAAACCACATTGAAGAATCTGACTGCAGTTCTTTAGATATAGCCAAATGCTTTCCATTAATTTTGTTCTATAAAATACTACACATTAAAAGTTTGAATATTCCAGCCATGCTCAGAACGCTGCAGTGTAGGATAAACTCAACCTGCTCGTGCAAAGTTAGAGCAACAGGAGCAGAATTAATGAGCTGCAACGTCTAAAGAATCAGACTCCAGCTGAAGATGAAGAAGGTCTGTTCACCCAATCTAAACTTCCAAGTTTTAAATTTCAGTCTATGTTCTTCAAGAGACTTGGAGGGGGGGAAAAAAAAAATCGACATTACTTTTCAGTACCACACAGTATGCAATCTTCCATGATTTGTTTTGCATCTAAACTGACACAAAGAAGTTTCCAAGTATTTTGAACTAAACTGTCAAAATTAAATTCTCCTAAAATTAGCAATCATCTCCCTTCGTACTAGGGGTTTCAGGGTCATTCTGAGAGCTCGGGGCACAGGAAGAGCGCAATGGGACATAGAAGTGGAGGGAAGGTTACCACAGGTGACAAGGAGCACTTCAGATTAAATGCAATGGAAAAAAGTAACAAATGCTAAAGTTTTTAAAAAGTTTAATGGAGCCAATAAGGCATATAAATTGTGTTCTGGCAGACCTGCTTTCTCTTACCAAAGAAAATGGCACATGTTTTATCAAAATTTGACAATTGAGAATAAAGGGTACTAAGATTAAGCTTCAGAGCACCAACTTAAAACAAAACAACCAAAAATATTGTTATTCAACTTAGAAAGAGGAACAAGAACCAAGGCATAAAGGGGAGATTAAATATGTGTTCCTCTATCGCAAAATCCTGTAGGAATAGGAGTTCTGGCCTCTCGTGAGCAATGCATCACATCACCAAACCCCAATTCCAGAACCTAAATTTACAATGACAGAAAAGCAAAGATAATTCCAAATGCATTTCTTGGTATATTCCAAAGGGAAGCTTTAAAGTATTCATAATACATAGGCATGTCCGTTTCAGGTAAAATGATAGACTGCTATAATTCTTCCTGCTATCATACTCTAACAAAAAATGATCCACTTTTGCAAAAATTTAGAATACCTTTCATTCCTACTTTTGAGTATGGATTTCACTGTTTTAAATAAGGGTTATATCTATAACGAATACAGAACTTCAATTCACACAACATTTCTAACATTCCATTCACATCCCACCCAGTCAATAATGGTTAACTTAGCAAAGTTTCTTCACAGAAAGATATTAAATGGCTGAAGAAATTGCAAACTTTAACAAAGTGCTGTAATTACTGGAAAAACCCTTACACTGATTTGCAATGGTCATTTAAGGATAAAAATAGGAAGTAACTGATACTGGACTACAAGTTTGCAAGGAAACATTTTTCACTGTCCTACTTGATATATAATAATAGGATAGAATAAATTACAGTACCTGGCAGGCTGACATCAGTTCTTCATCTAAAAAAGACTATCATTCAGTTCAAGATATTAAAAATGAAGATGAAACATGCTCTAAAACATTGTAGCTACAAGAGGTCTTTTATATTTACTCCAAGAGGACTCTATTGAGAACTTTTATTTAGGTCTACCTAACATCTAGAGAACCTCCATGCGATTCCACCTTTTCCAGAATGAGATTCCAAACTGCACTTCTTAGAGGAGGGGGAATGGAGGGACAGGGAGAGTTGGGTTTTGCTACTTAAGTTGTGATCACATTATTAGTAGATAAAACAGCTTTGTCACCTTCCACCCACTATAATGGAAACTGCACAAAGTAGGGTATCCGTGAAAAATGAAAAGCAGATATGAAAGACTAGAATAAATACCTATCCCACCCATCCATCTCCCTCTCACTAATACTGAACAAAAAGGAAGCCCACTCTCAAAGTTCATGACCTCTCTATTTCAGGTCACCTTGAATGCAGACTACAAGTTTACATTTACCGTAAGGAGTATCCCGCATAGAAGTAGTACTTGTCTTAAAACTGAGTATTTGAAGCCTACAGGGTTAATCTGGGGCAGTTTAATAATATTGCTATTTTTAGAGCACTAACACACACAAAGTGAATCCAATAAAGTTTTGTGTATTGATTCAATATTAAGTATTAATTGCATGACCATCATAGCACCTCTTTACATCACACAATCACCAGAATTAGAAACTGTGTTGAAAACTAAAAACAGGGCACAGTCCAATAATTAGAAGTTGCACACTGTTACTATATAGAAACCAGGTGCATGGTACAGTGAGGCTATAAAAATGGAAGCCTGAAGATCTGACGAGGAAGCCAAATCGTGTTTTTAGACAATTTTAGGAACCTGGCAATACTGTTGAAGCAAAATACTCAACACAGCAGGAAATGGACTGGGGGAGGGGAGGAAAAAAAATTCTATAACCAAATAAACATCTGATATTTCCTTTCCCTTTGAGAATAAATATAGTTAAGGTCACTTTTAGCCTTGGAACGGATATGTTTGCCTATGATGATCTTGCTAATGACTACACGATATCTGATGTCCTCTGCTAGGATTATAGTTTTTGAGAAAGCCATATTACAAGAGGCATCTACTGTAAATACCTATAACTTCCTTTTATGGCAACCACTATCGAATTCACTTGTCTTAAACAGTGAACAAGGGAAGATGGCCTCATGTTGCCTTTGCAATAATAGTATATGTTGAGGATCGAGTGGCTTTCAAGCAGCATGGTGGGTGTGAAAAATGTTTGCAGTTTAGATCATTCTGTTGCGTTTATGGGTTGGTGAGTCTGTAATGACATCGCCACACTGGGCTGAGGTACGCTTTCTAGTTCCACCATTGTCCAAGTGGAGTGCCATTTCTTCTGATATGAAAGTGTTCAAATCGACATCATGGAGTCCATTTCTCCTTCGACTAGCATTCGATCCACTGCTTACATGTGTAGGAGAGCCTGGGGTACTCGAACGCACGCTTATACTAGCCATTGCACCACTAAGACCTAGGAAGAAGAAAAGAGGTTTTAGAGTTGCTCCATTATTTAGCCCTCTTGAAAGCAACCCACTTTATTTTCCACGTTGTCACAGTGTCAAGGGGTATCTTGCCAATTTTCTCTGTAAGGGGTCACCAATGAATGGTTAAGTTTTATTATTTTTTTATTGGCTTTGATGTGGGGCTTACAATAATACTACCAATATTTACAGTAGTTACACAATATTGGTAGCAATTACAGAAAGCTTACCGTTTGTCAAGCACTGTGCTAGGTGTACAAATACACCTTGAGATTCTCCATCCTTTATTAGGTAGAAACTGTGCAATTTGCAGAGGTAGGACAGGAGGTGCTTATTTAAACAGGACATTTAGGTTTTCTAAAGCCACCACCCCAATAGATCTGTGCAAAGCACGTGTGTGTGGTGTGCATAGGGAAAGCAAGAAGTCATTTCCAGGCCTGAGAGGGCTTGGTCAACAACATCCCTCCAGAAAAGATGAGTATCATCCAAAATAAACACATTGTCAAGCCTGAAAAGGTATCCTTGTTAAAAATTATGCTAGGGCATCACATACAAAGTGGGTGTGCTCAGGACAAATGGGTCTACACAAACACCCAAGGTCTGGGTTGTACTTGGTAGATTCCTCAGGAAAGCCCAATCAATGCTGTCTTTAGTCCTTCAGAAGGGAAGACAGTGGTAGGAACAGTTCTGGCTTTGCTTTCACATCATTAAATCGGAATATACCTAGCACTGGTCTTTGGAACTCATTCCTCAGAATCTTCAATTTAAGGAGCCAAAACTATATTCCACACCTAAATGTCCAGGAGAAACCTGTGAAAGGCACAAGTCGTGCCAGGACACTTTATAACCATGGTACTGAACTCAGAAACCTAGCACTGACAGTGGATTTTCCACCTTAAGAATTTCCCCTTCCATTCTCCTAGCCTCACCTAGGGATTCTGTCATTGCCTGATTGAATTTATAACATGATCGAGTGTAGCTGATGTTCCTGAAGAATAAGATTTCTTAGATTTTAAAATAAGCTTATTGTTTTGATTTGGTAGGAGTCCATTTTAATTTTGAACTCTGTAAAAATGTGGCTTAAACTTGAAAGTTGTGTTGAAAGAAGAATCCTCTGCCTCCTACCACATCAAATGTGCTTGAATCCCCCTTGATGTTGTTCGCTCTCTCTGAATCCTCTGTGGACAGTGCTTTCCACCCATGGCCTCAACCACCTCCCATCTCTACCACCATTCAATGGTCCACGCCTCCCTGATAAGGGTGGCTTCCAACTTCCTGCTCCAGGGGCCTTTGCTCTTCTTTCTGCACTACTCCAACCAGTCCCCTTCAAGGTCTCGCCCAGAACATACACCTCTACAGACACTGGTGGAGGTCTGAGGAAATCTAAGTGTCCCTCTACCCTCTCAACCTTTCAAAGGCCAGCACCTGATTACAAAAAAAAAAAAAAAAAAAAGAAGAGGAGCACTAATACCCAAGTACCTTCCATGGTCAGGCACTATATTAAGTACTTTGAAATTTAATCTACAAAGTAACTCTATAACATGCAAATGAAAAACCAAGCTGAAAAAAGCCAGGTGCAGTGGCCCACACCTGTAATCTCAGAGACTAGGAGGCTGAGGCAGGAGAATATCATAAAGTATAAGGTCAGCCTCAGCAACTTAGTGAGACCCCACCTCAAAATAAAAAATAAAAAGGGCTGGGAGTATGACTCTATAGTTAAGCACCCCTGGGTTTGATTCCTGGTTTGGGGAAAGTTTTATTTATAAAAGGTTAAGTTATCAACAATAAGCAAGAGCTGAGACCCCCTCCCAACTCAAGTGGAATCTACACTCCTATTGGCTTTTATTCTGGCCCTTCTTAAAGCCTAAATTGTTTCACCAAGAAAGTGGCTTCAGGGTCAAGGGCCAGCCTACCTTAGTAGACTCATCTCTCTGGTCAGTTTTCTCCCTCTGCCCTCTTTACCCACCCCAAAACTAGATGATGTACACACTGCCAGTCTCCTCGATCAGCAGCTCTTCCTCAGATTAGGCCTGTGTTGCCTATCAACATTCAGACCTGCTGCCTGAGGCCAGAAGCTCCTCCGCTGGTTCTCCTACCTCTCCTTTCAGTCACTGGCTGGCTCCTCTTCCCTCCTGCTTCCAACTCTGCTCCTTCCTCAGCTGGCTCTGCTGGGTTCTCTTCTGCCCAACAGGCAGATAGGCAGGTGTCACCCAGGGGAGTTCCTCCACCCCTTAACCTACCCATAGGTACCAACCAGTGTTTTCCAAAGCTGGACCACAGGAGGAGACCCCTCTCCTGCCTCAGGGCCCACTATATTCCTAACTACCTTTAGGACATTTCACACTTCAAGAGAAACTGCACTCTCTTCCCAACACACAGGCTTACTTGGAAGACAAAGAAAAGGAACATCCTGGGCTCCTCTTATATAGTACATTCAATCATCTCTGCCTATAGACAATCTTTTCATCTCCATCTAAAGGACTCGACACAGGACTAGGCATGGGCACAGAACACCGAATTCTGAAAAATAATAAACACCCCAAAGTTCAACCCTGCATTCTGTAATCTACTGATATCTGAAGCTCAGCTTTTGACCTCAGGGAATAAACCCAGACTGCTAGCTGATCATTTCATTTAAATCAATGCCACCACATTTAAAACTCAATTATCCAAGTTGTTGGCATTTTTAAAAAGTTAACACAGCCTGTTAGCTTCCTACAAAGAAGCTGTGCCTTCCTTTTTCCTAATCCCACAGCCCATAACTCACTACTAGAAGGTGCCCAGTACTCCTGTGATAACCTTCTCATACTTGTTCCATAATTGGGGAATTTGGAGATTTGGTAATAATCAGTCAACTTCGATAATTAAATCCAGGATAGCCGATACCATTTGAAACTAAAGAAAGAATTCACAAACTCCACTCCAATACCCTTTTAGTTATGGTCCTGTGAAATAATGACAATAGAAAAGGCTTATAAAACACTCCCATCAGAAGTAGACTTGGCTAGTCACTTTAAGCAAACTTATCTTGTTACAACTTCCCCCATGAAAAAGAGGATACATTAAACATCAACTTGGCTAATTTGAAAATTCCCCAGTATTGTCTGGGAAATCATAAGCATTATTGGATATATGACCTAGAGTTTAAAAGCTCAAGTAAAATCACATGTGCAACATTACCTAATAGCTACTCTCAGCAGTGAAAATCTTTTTAAGTTTGACTCACTAATCTTCCCCAAAAAGATTTTAACACAGTGTCAAAAAAAAATTAAGATTAACAACCAAAAAATATATGCATTTTAAACAGCCCAAATTTTATTTTACAAACCAATGACAGCTACTGGAAGATGCTTAGGAAACCTTAGCTAAGCCACATAAACAATTAGGCCTATACAAGTACAGAAAATCTAAACATGCTTCAAAACTAAAACTAAGTTGTATGTCCTGAGGGCATACAACTTAATTTCTACCAAAAAACACACTTTTTCAAAAAGGCTATGGGAATATCAATTGACAAAAGCAGTAGAACAAGTAGCATGATTAGACAGAAAAGTCTCAATTGCTTAATACAAGATAAATAACTCAGTTTTAAAGGTTCTGCATCCGTTTAAAATATTTAATGCAGGAATGGGATAAAAATGATTAGGATGATTTAATCAAACTTTGAAAACTCCCATTTGGAACTAAAACAAATTTACAGTCCAGGTTATAGGAATCCAAGTTACATGGCAAATTATTAAAAAGTAGCACAGAGCTATTATTGTCATACCAAGTTCATGCTTAGGGTAATAAGAAAATGCTGTTTGCAGAATTGATTACATTTAATTCCAGTTTCCCAGCACATTGTCACACACAGGCAGAGAAAGAGCAATTGCTGACCCAGTCAATCTCACTGCCTTGGTCCGCCAGCCAGGGGCTGAGGCTCCGTCTACACTCTCTATGGGGATCCCAGAGCCTCAGTCCCCTGTGAAGAAGGCTAGCCCTGGAGGTGAGAAGGCACACTGTTGATCCACAGGCACAGGTTCAGGGCCCTCAGCAGATCTGCTCCACCAGTGATATCTCCTGGAGAAAGGAGGATCTGAAATCCCCCAAACTGGAACAAAATGAGTAACATTCTACCTGGAAGCCCTAAGAAACTGGCATTCTTGCCTTGGAAAAGAACTGCACTGAGATGTGCAGCACGCCCTGTGCCCAAAGCTGTGTTCTGAAATGCCAGGCAAGCACTTGTAGCACTTGTAGTGTCAATGCAGTGTTTTAGATGTATCCGGAAGTTGAATCATTTAAAAAAGAATTCTACTAGGAAGATTCTGGTAATTTGAAGTAGATACCACTCCCCACCCCAATCTGTAAATTGTAATACTGAATTTTTATTGAAGTAAAGCACACTAAATCAAACCAGTTACAAAGATACATGTATCACACCAAGAAAACATTTTCAGTTATGCTGACAGCCCAAATGCTTTCCATTTTTCAGACAGTTTTTAATGCCATGGAAAAAAATGCTCACGACGTTAAAATGAAAAAAGCAAGATACAGTAGCATATATGCAGTATGATCTCAACTATGAAGTAATTTTCATATTTATACATTGAAAAAAGGACTGAAAGAAAATGCAAACATTTAACTGCATGTGGGACCACAAGGTACTGAATTTTTTTACTTTTTGGAAATTTTCAAATATCGTAAAATATTAAAATAAGTCAGAAAATGAGAAAATTGAACTCAGATATTAAACTGCTTCGTAACTACCAATAGATGACTATTAAATAAGTACTATCTACATGAACTGGCTTACGCAATGCCACCCAGAATCCTTTTTCACTGCAATTAAAAAGAAAAAAAAGGCCAACAAAATTTTATTGCCGGTTCAAAACAACCCTACTCCACTGATGTTGGAAGCTGTTAGGTCTTACCTCCAGAAACTTCAGTGTTTAATAGCTAACCTTTTTCATAAGAAATTTTAATGCTATCTTAATTTTTCTTGTTCTTA